ATATGATATAAATGTATTGTGTAGGCATTTTGTACATTAACGTAATATTAATTTGTATGTTAATACTATAATGTGTTGATATAATTAACATAATTTAACTTGATTAATTATCTATGTAAACTGTCTATCCCTCCAATTAGACCACATCTCTGGAGACTGTGTTCCCTGGAGATGGGAAATATACAAGACTTGCTCTTGCTGCTCAACCACAAGAGCGCCAGCAACCTTAATTAGGAAGCTATTTTGCTAGATTGTTTACAATTTGCCTAAAAGATAAATTAACATTTGATACTTAAAGCAACACTACTGATTAATCAATAAATATAAACAAGCTAATTAAGAGTCCAATGAAATGGAACCAGAATCATGGAACTGCAGGCAGTTCATGTTAGCTCAGATGAAAATCCCATCTCATAATTAAGCAGATTCATTGATTTGTAGCTTTTCAAAAGCTAAACTGACTTCAACTCAGCCTTGTTTCAACTTTATAAACTAGTTCCTGTGTATTATTGTGACTATTAATAAGTTCATCTGACATTTGATGGTCTTAGTCTACTTAAAAAACAAAACTTCCTTTTTTCCTAGCAAAGACTATACATTTTAAAAACAAGTTTTAAAAAAAGCTGCTAAAAACAATTACTTTCTAATTAGTGTTATTCTTCACTTCTTCCTCCCATAACAATAACCTTCAAAAGGCTTCAAATAGCTGGCAATGGAGAGGTGGTATCAAGAATTCAAGAGCTCAGAGCCAGCTTGAGCTGAGTCCCTGTCTAAAAAAAAGCAAACAACAGCAAATATTTAGATGGTATGTTCATGTGTGCTGAAACAGGGAGTCATCTCTCCCTCTCTAGCCCTCCATATAAGAGTAGTAAATGAAGCAAATATAAAGTTGCCAGACTAATGTAGGAGGTTCTTGTTTTTGATACTCTTTTTTGTTTCCTTCCAGTCAATAACTTCACCCCTTCTCCTCAAAGGTTCCCTGTCTCCCTGATCACCAAAAGCCCAGAAATTAAAACAGTAAACAGTTCCTCCTCAAGGTGCATTTTAACCACCACAAGCATTCCTACTTAGATTAAAACACGAGTCTCCCTGGTGTCTAGACATGCCTAGACATGACCCGCAGATGCAATGAGATGGTTGAGTTTCTCTAGTAACTGCAGGCCAAATCAACAGCAACCCTCAGAACAAGCATTCTTCGCTGCTGCTACTGTTTTTCTAACAGAACTAGAGCACAGGCATCTTTTAATTGTCATCTTACTTTTTATCTTTAGAGAAAAAAAAAATTACAGTCTAAATTTCAAGACACTATAGCTTTGGATGGCAGCAATCAAACTCAGGTAAGATATTTAAGATGCAATGATAGTCAGGAAAATAAAATCAGCTAGGTAGAAGCGGTAAGTGTAGAGCAAAATGGAGCAAAGTGTAAAATAAATGTAATGATATCTTCACAAAGTCTATAACTTTTCATGTTGTTAGTGGAATGGAGGTTACTCTACTAGTTTTATTTCTTCACAAAAATCTGTAACTTTTCATGTTGTTAATGGAATGGTGGTTATTCTACTAGTTTTGTCTATGAACATTCAAATGACATTTTGTAGCATATAGCATTGTTCCTCAAATACAGGAAGAATGAATACAAAACATAGTTACTCACAAATAAGGTCTTTTGCAAGTAAATTTTACACTTACTTCACTTTGACTCCTTTCACTGGAGTGTTCATAAAACAAACTACGATTTTGGAGAAAATATATTCTACCTTTCATTTTTTCAAAGATAGTGTTGAAATATGTGCAAGTTTATTCTTGGGAAGTTCTTGAGTTTCGATGGTTTGAGTTTGGTTGTGTTTAATGTTCCTGGTGACTAGCATTGTATTCATGTCATTAGTGGCATCTATGAGACCATTTATTTGCTGGGCTTAGGGGTCAGTGTATACCTAAGAAGTTTCCCTTTGTAAGCTGTAAGACTTTTTGGATCAGTACAAATAGGCATTATTATACTATGTTCATGAAGACAATAGTCTGAGGAGGCTACTCCCTACTGAATTCTACAGAGCTTGCAATCAGAGCATGTTGTATATCCTCTCTGGGCTCATAGATAAACGAAAAAAGAGGTAAGGCTAACTTAAACGATGGAAATATTAGTGAAGAAAGATGGCATAGAAATGCTGTCACTGCCCCCCCCCAAGTGCCTCTATTCCAAATATACACGAGCAGACAGGTATTCGCTGTGAAATACTAAGAGCAAGGAAAATTCAACTGCCACAAGACATTGCTTCTCAGGCTTCCGCAGACCTCACTCTTGATGATGCCCAAATCTACCCTTGTTTCAACGATCTACTCAAAATCTCACCTCCTTCAAGACTGGTGTCTGTCAGCTCTTTACACACCCCACCTCCACCCCCACCCTCCCACCCCCACGTGCTTCTCTCTATTAGTAAAATCTATCAGTTTAGCGACTTCATACTGTCTGGAACAGTAACTAATGTATGATCACTTTGTGTAACCACCTCGACTGTCTGAAAGATAGTAGCCCTTCGAGTGCTAAATATGTACAGACATTTAAATAAAACAGGGGCCCAAAGTGGGAATGGTTTCCTCAAAGCTTACCATGAGATCAAAAGGAGAGAGAGAGAGAGAGAGAGAGAGAGAGAGGGGGGGGGGAAACAAAACAAAAAACAGTGACTTTGTTCTTAAAAGGGCCACACTTTGACCACAAGGGGGTTGGTTCAATGTCGGACTAGGAGAGCTGAGCGGCCCTCACCTCACGGCATGACCCTATAAAAGGAAATCCTAAGAAAGAACTCAGACATTGGCAAGGGCAATCTTGCAGGCAAGCGCATCCACATCTGCTGCGGAAGGCTCAAGCCTCTAGCTGTGGTGCCTGGGAAGCTGTTTCTGAGAATGGGCATGAACACTGAGTGGGCTTGGGAACTTCTTGGGCAATAGGGAAGGAGAGGTGAATGTAGGTAGGTCTTTGCGCTTCCCACTACACCATGAAGATAAGCCTCTCAAGAATCTGCGTCTCCATCTCCCAGGCCCCCTCCCATAAGGCTCTTCAGGAGCCCGCCCATTGCCCCTTCTAGTAGCTTCTGCCTCCCCTCCCCCACTCGCCCCGCCCCCTCGACCTCGGGGTTCCAAGGGCGGTTGGTCGCAGAGCCACCGCCACTTGGCCAGTAGGAGCTGCCGGGCGCGCGGGGTGGACAGAGCCTGCTGTAGAGTTGGGGCTGGAAACCGAGGAGAAGTTGTCGGAGGCGGGTCAGACCCGGAGTGAGGGAAGCAGGAATCTGTCCCGAAGCCCAGGGGACGGGGGCGATGCGGGAGGGTCTCCGGGGACGGCGGGGACGGGGGCCCGGCGCCCGGGGGTCACCTGGGGTCGCGCGCGGCCCTGCGGAGGTATGGAGGGGGCCCCGGGAGCCTGAGGCATCTCTCGCTCCGCCACCCTCGGCCGTTGGCTGTCGGCCGTGGTGTAAAGGGGGCGAGGGACCGGACCCTCGGGAGCTGCAGCGGCGGACGCCCGGTGCTCGGTTTGTAGGCAGTGTAATTAGCTGATTGTACCGCGGTGCTGACAATCACTAACTCCACTGCCATCAAAACAAGGCACAGCATCACCCGCCGCCCGCTGGAGGAGAAGCAGGCGGCCGCAGCCCCGCTGACTCTGCAGAAAGCGGAGGCCGGAGCCGGGATGCGTCAGCGAAGGGGCCCCGGAGCACACGAGGTCTAAGTGCAAGTAACCCTCAGAGACCGGCGGCCTCCTTTAGGGACCGTTCGGCTACTTGTATCTTGGAGCCAAAGCAAAACGGTTCAATGATATGCAAAGGCAATTGGTGTACACCGGCCTGGACATCACAAAAGAAAAAAAAAAAAAAAAAAGGCTGGAGGACCCCCGCCCCAGAACAGTTCCTGCTGCCTGCTGTGATTCACTGCCTGTTTTCCACTTCTGAGAAAGCTATCACCAAGGCAGCAACTAGAGTCAATCACAGCTTGGCTGATGATTTGCTGGTCACAACGTCTGAGAGCACCAACTGCAGGCTTTTTCTATGAGTCTAGTTACTAGGCAGTGTAGTTAGCTGATTGCTAATAGTACCAATCACTAACCACACGGCCAGGTAAAAAGACTGAGATTCCTCCGAATGAGCCTCTTGTGCGTCGTCAATTTGGTGAAGACAGGGCCACAGGGAAATGCTCATACCATCTATTACCTATTCAGTTGTTTAGGCAAAGAAAAACTAGCACTTGAGCTGATAAGTATACAACGTGTGCAATATATGTGTGTGGGGGGGTTAATTTCAATCATTTTTAGATATATTGGAAAATAGAAATTATCCCTTCGTTCATCTGATCACCACATTGACTTGTGATCATAAATCTTTGGACTTTGCCTGACACTATATTATTAATACTCTGAAAAATAAAGTGCCACGAAAAATGCCAGCTATCAATATTATCATGTGTCCATTTACTTTCCAAAACTGACTTTAGGGTGTCCATCTCGGCTCCTGTCAATCCCTGAAGTAATTAAATGGTCAACTATTACATAGACAAAAATCTCCAAGGGAAATGTTCACACATTTTGTTTGTAAGGATATATTTAAAAATGTTTTCATATTTTTTCACGGGGTAGGGGGCCTCAACCCACTTTACTAGGTTTTTTTTTATGATAATGATTGCAATCTAGGCAACTTTTGGTGTATTATCAAACACAATTTAAAACGAACTTGTTTCCTAGGATTTGTACTAGAAGATTTGGAAGTTTTTTAAAAACACAAAAACTGTATCCATGGGTACCCCTCAACCCAGTTCTGGTCTAGGACATTTATGCTGCCTTGATGTATCAACGCAGACCTGAGAATTTCGTGGGTGAGGGTGCTGAGCCTTGGCAATCATGTCCAAAAGAGAAGCTCTTTAAGTTCACTTTATTCATGTTTGGGGGAGGGAACGCTAATTTAGGATCTAAGAAACGTAGCTGCTGTCCACTGACTCCAGAACTCTACACATCACAAAATTGAGGCTTTGACTCCAAGTCTTGACTGGTCCTGAAAGCTGTGACCTCAACAGAAGCCAGCTACAGATGGGCCACAAGCGCTCGAGGATCTCTAAGGAAGAAACCCAGGCTTTCCTGTAGTGACAGTTACCAACTGGTCGGTTCTCCGGTGGGGGCGGGGCGAGGGAACTAAGGGAAGCGTCCTGAGTCACCATGGAGACTGGGCACAGAAGCAGTCCTAGCTGCGAAAAGGAGTCCCACGAAATCTGCTCCCCTGGATTACTGGTGTTCACAGGGTGCTCCGAGCAAGATGCCAACTTGGCTAAGCAATTTTGGCTCGGGGCGTCCATGTATCCCCCTACGGAATCTCAGCTGGTGCTGACCAGAGACAGCAGTCAGCGGCTACCGGTGGCGAGGCATTCTAAAGCCCTTGTGAGGGGTGAGTAGCACTGCTGCCTCCTAGAAGGAGAAACTGCCTAGTCTAGTGGTAAAAGAATCAACTGAGAAGTATAAACAAGCAGTAATAGGTATATGCAAATAGTTCTGAAACTGCTGTTACATATACAAATACAGCCTAAGAGTCCCTTAAGTGACGCTTCTATTTGCCAAGTAGGATGGGTTAATCTAAGAAAAAGATGTGTGTTGGCTAAAAAGACATTAGAAAACATAAAATTTGAGTTCAAACTTGAAAGCCTGAGAAAAAGTTGGAGGTAGAGTCAAATTTAGGAACCGCCTTCCCTGACTGACAAGCCTCTGGCCAAGGATATATAAAGTATTCTTATTCAATATTAATAGCTATAGAAATTCAAATACTTTTAATGTCTGTTTTTTCAATAACTTACTTTCCATTTGTATTTCTTAGAGAAAAATCCTGTCTTGCCCTTCCCCTTTGATCATAACAGTAAGTACCAGGCTTTAAAACCCTCAAAAGATAGACTCCCCAGACTGTCCCTAGGCTTTTTTAAAATGTAAATATTTACATTGTGGTATAACTGAGTTGCATACTTCATACCTTGCCTCGGGGCCCAAACCACACATCCAGAAGATAACTTTCTGTACTGTGTGACTAGAAATGTAGATTAGCATCACTGATCCTCCATGTAAGGATTCAGGCATTGTGCTGGCCGTCCCCCTCCCCCGCCCCCTAATTCCCTTTCTAATAAAACTTCTCAATAAGCTCTGTCGGCCAGGCATGTTTGTCCCTCCACCTGGGTCACCCTCGCCTGCCATGGGATCTGTCAAGCCCTGCCATGAGTATTACCCTACCCCTACTGGCACTTCCTCTTTGGAGACTATTTCTTGCCTCAACTCATGCTTACTCATGATCTAAAGGGATTAAAGGGTTCCTGGTGGTAAAGACAATTAATTCAGTCTCCAGCTATTTATGATTCTGGTTATAAAGTTTCAAGACAGTATATATTTGGGTCCCCTCCTGCTCTATTAACCCATATCCAATTTTATGACAATACTATAAGAATCACGATAAAGTTATTTCAGATTAAATTTGACTTTATTTACTCTAGAGGAGGTGAATGTCTTTGCTAAAGTCCAGAAGATTCAGGAATCTGAAGAGAAAGCAATGTATCTCCAAAAGGTGGGCCAATGCTTCATTTCTTCTGATTTTCATTACTCTTATAAGCATTTTTGATAAATATTGTTTGTTTATTGGTGCTGAGGATATTTTACTTTTAAACACATGCAAATAAAATGTGTTTTTCCGATATCTCAGCCTTGAAAAGTTTTTGTTAGAATTTTAATTAAAAATGCAGAAATTCTTGGGGCTGGAGAGATAGGTCAGTTGTTAAGAGCACTTGATCTTTCAGAGGACTTGAATTTGGTTCCCAGTGTCCATGGCAGATGACTCATTGCTGCCCATTAACTCCAGTTCCAGACACACACACTCCTACCTTTTAAAAGCCAGGTCTAGTAGCACAGACCTCTTTTCCAGTAGGTAGAGAAGCAAAGGGCAGAGACAAGAGAATCAAAAGTTCAAAGCTAGGTTCTAAAGAAATGGATTAATGATTAAGGATGCTTGCTATGCAAGAATGGGGACCTGTGTTAAAATACTCTCCAGAACCCTTGTAAAAAGCCAGGAATGTTGTGTGCCATTGTAACTCCAGTGCTATGGGAGCTGGAGACAGGAAGATGGCTGGGGCTTGCTAGCTCCAGGTTAATGAAATACTGTGTTTCAAGGGAAGAAGGCAGGAAGTAATAAAGCAAGATACACAATGTCCTCCTGTGGTCTTCACATGCAAAGAAGAGCACATACCAGCACAAACAGTGTGCATATCACAAACACAGGGGGGGGAGGTTGTAAATTTAAAGACATATAGCAAGGATACTTAAAATAATGAATTCACAAATATCAAAAACCTTCCAGGCTAAGTGGGCAATGTAGAATTAGTTCAAGGCCTGCTTGAGAAACTTGGTGAGACTGTTTTATAATTTTAATAAATGTTAAAAAAAAAAGAGGGGTGGGAATATAGCTCAGTGGTGGAGTACTTAGCTAGCATGTGGATCCCTATTACTACAAAAAAGAAAATTGCATTCTATTAAACTGGCTATTCTCAGTCTGCCAAAGCTCACAGGAACATCAGAAACATAAATAAACATAGATTCACTTTTCAAAAAAGCCTCAAACCATGCACAATAGAACAAAAATACTTTTAAAATGTGAAAATTATTGTCTTAATAGGTCAAAACCAAGAGAACCAAAGTATGAGTCTGTCATCTGGACCTGTTTTAACTAAAAGCTGATATAAAGCCTTTGTTTTGTTTTGTTTTTGTTTTTTTGCAGCCACATGATACAACTAGAGCTTTTAACTCAGCAGCTAATGTCATGATTAATAGCAACACTTTGTTTGGTTCGTGGATAAACTCTTATTTCAGTATCAAAGCAGAGCTAGCATACCTATTTTAGCCTAATGTATTTAGCCACTGAACATATTGGCAAACGCTAAAGGACATGCTAGGAATTCCACATAAATTACAGATCAATTCACTTTACTTTTCTGGTGACAACAATTCACTTAAGACTACCGGTGATTATTTCAAACAAATTAAGTGATTAGAAAAATTAGCACTTTCTTCTCTTTTTAGATTATTAAGTATCAGACTCTGTCTCAAGAAAATACTATATACTATATAACAGAATTGTGTAGGGTTTTTTAAAAGAATAGTGTGTGTGTGTGTGTGTGTGTGTGTGTGTGTGTGTGTGTGTAAGTGCAGGTAGGCACACATTCCACTGCATGCATGTCAAGGTCAGAAGGTCAATTCTCAGGAATCAGTTCCCACCTTCCACCTTGTTGAAGGTCTTTCTCATTTCTGCTGCTGGCCTATTTCCAGATGATTCCATCTCTGCCTCCTGTCTTCCTGTGATTACAGATGTGTACCACTACATCTGGCCTTTTACATGGACTCTAGCATCAAACTTGAGTTTTTAGGCTTGTGTGGCTAATGCCTTTATCCATTGAGCTATCTCCTCACCCTTTACAGAGATTATCTTTTCATTTTTAAAATCATATTTTGTGTGTTTGTGGTGTATGTAAGTTAGATGGCAACTTGTGTGAGTGGGTTCTCTCCTTCTATCATGTGGGTCCCAGGGATCAAACGTAGGTCATCAGGCTTTACAGCATGTGCCTATATTCTCTGAGCCATCTCTCTATCCCCCTTTATAGGGATATTTTAAAGCTTAATTTTCATTAGAGCTGGGAGTATAGTTCAGTACAGTACTTGACTAGCATGCATAAAGCCATACATTTAATTCAATTCATGCATCACACTTGCGCACGCGCACGCACACACACACACACACACACACACACACACACACACACACTGACACACATCCTTGAGCCAGGAATGGTGACTCGTCCCTATAATCCCAACAGCTGGGAAGCTAAGGCAAAAGGAGCCTTATGAATTTGAGGCCAACCTTAGCTGATTTCCAGGCAATTTCAACTACTTTGGTACTTTTGCAATTTAATTTTCATTGTACTTCATTTTAGAAAGGGATCAGAAATAAAGGTTAAAAACAAACTTACTAGTCAATTTTACAAGCTTTTGCCAAATAGTAAGAATGATGTGAATTTTGGGGGACTATAATATTATATGCCCATATAACTAATCTTAGAACAATCTTCCATGTCTTATGTCCTTTTAATTTATTAACTACTCAATTCCACATCAATTTATTGAGAGCCAGTTTGGTATATGTACTATGTTAGATGCAGTCAATGATTATGATGTGCTCTTATGATAAATGTAAATGATAGCACAAGAACATATGTAACTAGGCATAGTAGTATGCCCTTCCAAACTCACCGTTTAGGACGTTGTGGAGAACATATGACGTTACCAGTGAATTGTTTGATATGAGTGCAGACATGTTATGGACCTCAATACCTTAGCCTTCTCCTGGTCCTTGTTGGCAAGCTGTTCAAAAAATGTGGCTCACAGATTCCTCCTCCCCTACCAAGATTAACTAAACCCCACTCCCTGTCAGGTTTATGTAATAACTCTGTCTCCTCATTCAGCTGTATAAAATAAGCAGGCAGAGTTTCCTGGCTGCAGTATCTCCACTAGAGTGCATAAACTATCTTATCCCAGCAATTCTGTATGTGTGTCTGTGTGTCTATCCTTTCTTCATTCCCTTGTAGCCCCAGTTTTGTTTTCAGGACTCATCTGTGTGAGTCATAGCAGGAGGCAGAAGAAGGAAATTCATGAGTTATGTCAATAAGCCTGAGCTACATTGAATATCCTGTCTCAAAAAAGAGAAAAAGAAAAAGAAAGGAACGGAGGAAGGGAGGGAGGAAGGAAAGACTGAAGGAAAAAGAAAAAAGAAAAAACCAATAAAAATGCCAGGTGTAGTGATGTATGCATACAGGCAGGTCCCTGTACATTGAAGGCCAGCCTAGTTTACATAGCAAGTTCCAGGCTACATAGTGAGACCCTGTCTCAAAAACAACAATAACAAAGATCAAAATTAAAGTTAAGAAATGAAGAAACCTTCCCAAACCACTGAGTTTTGAAAATTGTTTCTTCAGCCTGCAGTACACTTTCTTGTCACTAAAATGCCCTTCCTTGTCTACATTCAAGGCCTGGCTCCTATGACAGCTTGCCAAAAGTTTTCCTGGGACTACCTAGAAACTGAACAGTGCTTTCCCAGTGCTTACCTATGACATCAGAATTGGCCTCTCAGAGTGCTGTATAAAGGCTCTGGTCTGTACCTGAGGCAAAGATCCATGCTCCTCTCTGCCCTGCTAGATTGTAAGCACCATAATTAGCTGCCTTTAGAGACCACAAGTTGGATCAGAAGCATAACTCTGACACTTATCACTTATGTGACTGAGCAGTGGACTTGAACCCTATCATAATCAACTTCTTCAAATAGCAAAGAAGAAAATTTTAAAATATCCATCTCAAATAGTTGATGTAACCTATATAAAGTACCTGACCATAGTTTACCCTCTATAATTGTCCCTTCTAAAGAAGTCCTGTCTCATTTGCTTAACTCAATGTTTTTCTGGATACTGCAATTCAAATATTTGTTCATATGCCCATGAACATGTAACTATGTATAATGACTGAATGACCACTTATGCAGTAATATTTTTGTTGGCACCGGTAGTTTTTGTTCTTTTGTTGGGTCCTGGAAGTTAAACCTAGGGCACCATGCATGTGACACAGGACCACAACTATATTATCAGCTGTCCTTTCCACATAGACTCATCTGGAAACTCTTCTAGGTTGATACTCTTTTACAATACTTCCAAATGCACAAGCACATCTCCTGTCATGTCAATTTTGCTTTTATCCCATGGGTGTGAATATTAGAGGAAAGAATGTGACTCCATTAGACATTAAAACAGAATCTAGTTTTTGGATACTATGGCTTTTCCGAATCTATAATACCCTCTCTGCATTGTTGATACCACCATTGATAATTTGAAGCTTGATGGTAGAAAATGAATGGAAGAAGACATGGGTCTTTTTGCTATATTACTTTTTTAATTTAATTTTTCCATATTTTGAACATACACATCAATAAGGTATGTTTCATCTTAAAGGGGTGAAAAAAATCCCTATAAATCTCTTGAAGGTGCATTTATCCATTTTCTTAATATTAAGAAAATCCTGGAAATTTCCATCTCCCTGAAAGTGGCTTTACAACCTTCCTTCCCAACAGATATTGATTTTTCAGTAGCCAAGGTTTTAAACTTTAATGTTCCTCTCCATTTTGGAATATTTTCCATGTATACATTATAAATGATTTTGTTAGTGAGCAAAATGCTATTAATCACAACTACTATTTCAGTGATAGACATCAATGGCAGGAAATCAAAAATAATTGAGCATGTCAAGATTAAATGGCTTACTGTGTCCATAAAGGAAGTCTTATAGCACTGTATTGGACCATTATTTTTCCTTTGAGAGTTCTAAGTAGTCTGAAAAACATAATAAATGAATAGTCAGCTAATTCTTTGAAATCATAAAACTAATTTGCTTTCTAGTTTTGCCACCTTAAGAAAGCTCTTTAGCTGATTATCTCTTTATGAAAAGAATTATAAATAATTTATTTTCTAAGAGAGTGAA